GATCGCACTACACGGAGATTTACAAGTACCCTCCTTTTAACCCTTTTGTTCAGGATTGTTCCACTTACGTTTCTCTTCTTCTTCTTTTTTTTTTCGATTTCGTACATTGGGATTTTTGGGTTAAGGTGCGAAATAAATCGAAGAGCTGACTTCACTTGCTGTCGTTAGTTGACAGTCGAGATGCGGCAGTTGCAAGCAAAACTTTTATGAAAAACATCTCTGTGCGATGTTTGAGGTTCGTGCAAAATTGGTTAGGATTTTTAGATCGGGGTCCAAAATACGTCGAATTTTCATTAATTGAGATCCACGATCCATATAGAAATTTCTAGCCAAGTCCATTCTACCTACTATATTTCCATTAATCGGTAGTTGAAATCCGTTTCTATGTTTCTTTCATCCACATTTTTATGCTAAATTCAACGTGTCTTTTCAAGTGCAAAGCAGGTGGCCGCGTACAGGTTGGTGTGGCAATTGACTCTGTGTAGGTATCAATTACACGATGTTTCTCTTCATTAGAAAAAGCCAGATACCTGTTATCCCGGCCAATTATTCGTAATACCCTTGAATTTTCTAAAATTGTTGGTCTGCGCCTTCCCGCCGCTGAAGCAAAAATAGTCGAAGTAGAAATTACTTGAAAAAATACCTGTTACGGCGTCGCTCTGTTTGAGAATGCCTGCATGTGCACAGGAGAACTTACACTGATAGCGCAATCGCTGGGGCCAACCCCTGGTGCGGTCATAATTGCACAAGTGCACACGCGACGATAACTGTAGCGGCTTGTTATTGCGGTTCTACGGTTTGACGCGATTCCGTTTGTTTATGGGTGTATGTAACCATTCTTCCTTCCGTGATATCTCGACCCTCCTGCCGATCCATTGATCCAACCTACTAGTTTACACGATTTTCTCACGCTGTAATTACCCCGTTAGTTAATTTTACTATCAATCCATAACTAATTGTTATACATAGCGGGATAATAATTCAATCTTTTCGGCACGTATGATTCTAGAATGTAGAGACACAAACGTTCGTGAGAGAATATCCCAAGTTATTCCGCAGATGCTACGAAATATCGAATGTGGTTGTAAACTTCCGGTGGATAATATTCACCATATTAATGGAGTACACGGGATTTGTACGTAGCCAAAAGTTCCCTTAATTTCGTTGTTGGTTTTTGAAAGTTGATTAATCCGGAAAATAATTAAGGGAAAGGACTGGAAGGGTTTGTTGGTCTATCCTTTTGTTTCTGTCGGGGCAACAAAAATCTAATTAAGTCGTCAAGAGACCGTGTCCCCGTTTGGGCGCGAATAAAAAGCGGGAAACAAATTTTCCACTCTCGGGTAGGAATTTTTTTTTTCCACCAGGTCCGGTATTTAAATACACAGAAATTCCCGCGGAATTGTTCTTGCGAAAAACAAGCGAAAAAAGAAAAGAAAAAAGTAAAAGAGAGAAAGGGAACATCAACAATTACAACCGTGCTTGGTCGGTGGTGCTCGACAAACCCGCCTCTCTCCGCCAAAAAGAAAAGAAATACGAAAAACTCTCTCGGGAAACGACCAGAAAGAAAAGCAAAATCCTGCTAAGAAGAACAATAAAGTCATTAGTAAAAAGAAAGGGGACCAGTGGCAATTAGCGGCGCCACCCCCTAATTGCCACCGAGCTTGGCTCGCTCGCACAATCATTACCACTGACCCGCCTCTATTTACCGCTTTCCCTTTCGACGTGCGCCAGAAAAATTCCCAAAGGGATCCGGTCTCCTTCATCTAGCCCCCACTGTCGTCGTGTCTGACCATCCCACCGAGTTGATCTCGTTCGGGAACAAATCGCTGGGGACGAAATCTCGGTTGAAATTCGGTACCGACCGATCTTCAATCTTCTCGGAACGCATTGACGAGGGCACGGGTCACTACACGTCGTCCCTGAATCGTACCCCTTCCCTTCTACCTTCGAGCTGGTCGCGTACCCCCACCACTTTCGAGCTGGTCGCGCGCTCCCACCACTAAATGTGCCTGAAAGGGCGCAACTCGCGCTCGGTCGCGTTCGGCTCCCTTCGGTGGCGCTCGGCCACGCTGCTGCTCCGCTCGACGGCAGCCGCGGATCGCGTGGTGGGGATAGCGGAGTGGAGTGGGTGGCATGAGCCTGCCTGGCGGGTCGCGGCACTTGGACACGCGATCGTCGTGCGGTGCACACGCTTCTCATCCCAAATGCCTAACCGGCTGCGGTTATTTCCTCGCGACGCGTGCCTTTCGCGCGATCGTCACGCGTGCTGCGACTTATCGTGAGAGGGAGGTCAAGGGGAGTCCGGCAGACCTCTCGAGTCTCTCTCGCTGCTTGCTCCACTCCCTTCCTTTCGTCAAGGTGGATCTCTTCGCCCGATACTCGCGTCTCTATCCCCCATCGTGACTTGGCTACGTTACAGTGCGTGGACTACCGTCTACGTGAGCTGACACTGTGTGTGACACAGGGCTGTGTCTGTGAGACTGGTGAACATTATTTCAGCGAAGATTGTGAGGCTGGTGTGTTGTACATTGACTGATTACTTTCATCATGGATTGGAGACTTGGATTCCTGGTGTGGGCCTGTCTTCTTGTTGACGGTGAGTGACTTCTCCATTCATGTATGGTTCTGCAAGTACGTGTAGGGGTGTACTACTAGGGGTGGCTCTAGTGCTGTGTCACTCGGTGCCGCAGTCGCGGCTAGAGTAGCGTGCGTCCGTTGGTATTAAAAATTCCAACCTATTCCGACCGTCGTTTGTTCGATAACTCTCCCGGAACATAGAACTCTTCGAACGCGCCGATGGGAGCCATCGCGGATTTTCTTTCCGGGGTATTTCAACGGGCAGGCTGAACGAGGCCAGGGATGGTTGGCTTGCAGAAAAGTTATGACTGACAGGGATATTGTTCTCGTTCGAAGGTATAAGTTCTTTTTTTAGGACTCGAATGGAAGGACACGAATTTTTCTCGCGATTCGTGTCTGCTGTTGTTTCAGTTGTTATCGCGGTTTCTCGTGCAGGGACATTTTATTGTGTTACTAATTTCTTAGAGTTAGTAGATATTATAATATTTGACTTGGCGTGTAAACGAGAATTGTATAGGTTTGAACTGAACCATTATTTTTGTCGCTGTTAGGGAGGTTTTCGCTTTACATGCAAATTTTTTTTCCTTTTATTAATTCCGTTTTTCTTTTTTTTTTTTGAGTTCATAGTGGGAAGAAATGAATTTTTCCTACAGTTAGACAGGTTTGCTATTAATTTCTTTTCTCTTGCTACATCTCATAACAGTGTCACAGCTGTTGTGGCTGAATTACAGAGAGAATAAGATGGAGTTGAGCTTTGCTACTCTCTAATTGCACTTTCATTTAAATTTTCAATTTCATAATTTCTGTGATTAATTTTTTATGTAATGTCTCTGTGATTTTTATATTTATCAATTTTTTTTCTCTTTTCATAAACGAAGTATCATAATATATGTAATATGATATTTTCATTGTGGAGCCATTCATTTCGAAAGATGAACGACGTAGAATTTCCTTCATTAATTTCCGCGTCTCAATACTATTCACATACCAAAACAAGTTCAACCTTCGAGTGCCTGGAAATTTCAAGAATTGATATTCCCAGGATTTTCTTGCACAATAATTCCCGTACTAACGATATTACTGTACAAACAAACGATTTGTATTAGTTTAATTTTTATTATCAAAATTCTTAAGGAAAGATTAAGATATATTAACAAGATAATAATTTATTATAAGATTGATCATTTTACTAACAACAAGTGGAATAGAATAATATGATATCACTTATTTATTGAGTTCAATTTATTATTTTTAGAATTTAGTACTATTATTGATACTTTACAATTTTACATTTAAACATTATTGCAATTTTACATTACAATCTCATCAGTAATATTACATTACAATTTTATATTTACAAACAATCACAATGAGAATGACGCGAAGTAAGTAATAAATTTTTACCATTAAGTCGTAATTCAATGGTGAATTGTAAATTCAGAATAGCTCAGAATAAATTCAATAGCATTTGAGAAATGAGCTATAATGGTTGCCCTTTGCAAGAAAAGAGCTTTGTTTAGACGTAGCGTAAAGAAAAAAAACTGGTTCTCAGTTGACATTGAGTGTCTCTGAAACAAACAGATCTTCATTTTTCTCTGAATATCATGTATTATAATTTTCACAGCTTTAGATTATTTATTTATTTGGCTTCGGATTGTTTATTTTCGTAAAGAATCGATGAAAAGAAGTTCTAAATACATTCCTCTCATATTTTTATATGACGATACTTGTCGAGAATGAGTTTATTAGTTATGAAGACGAGTATAGACGAGTATAAGAACTTGTATAGACGAGTTATTAAATTATTAATAAAATCTCATCGGTGACATTACACATCAGTTTCTAATCAAAACTGTGATAACAAGCTGTCGAGAATTGCCCTCGGCTCCCTATCTTGTTTGTCGTCGGCACGCGTCTTCTCGTTCCACCACGTTGCTCATTTTGAAACTCATTTCGCGATACGCGGATAAACAAACGAAAACCTAGAGCCAGTACGTGCCCAATTACCAACCTCTGTTTGAAAATTCCTCTGCAGGAAGGTTTCGCTCCTCCCCTTGCCTCGTCTCCTTCGCTTATTTCTACGTAGTAGCTTGGAGCAGTCATCGAAAAAAGCTGGAAGCCAGATCCGCGATCGGATCGTGGATAAGCGGCGCTAGTATCGCGCGCTAGATCGATCAAGGGAAATGCAGAGCACACACATGTCGTGCTGTTTCCCTCTCTCTCTCTCTCTCTCTCTCTCT